TCCCATATACCTAAATGGGACCCCACTGCAAAGAGGTATTACGTTTTACGACAACAAATACTCAAGCCTATATAAGTTCTTTCCTAACCAATTCAATTCGCCTTCATTCATATTCACGCAGTGATGCGGTAGATGGGAATCGAATCGAGTCCCGGGAGGGGATGTGTTTCTTTCGATAAATCGCCATAGTCGGACATCTGCTTTTCAATTATAGGAAAGGAGACCCCGGATGGGAGAGGCCTGTCTATTGACGCGAATGCTGGATATTCAACGGGCCCATAGGTAAGAAACCAAGTTAACGGAAATGTACGCGTAGCCGGTAAACAGTTATGGGATGATGTGACCTTGCGACACTGCGGAGGACTGATTTCGGCACGGGTTTCTACCTTAAGATTTAAAGCAGAACCGATGTCCCTTTTAGAAAACGCTGATGGTGGACAGCCACTAGATAACTTGATTAATGTCGTAACTTGCTATTAGTTTTCACTGGAAATAAACCCTTCTAAGATAGAGGTCGTGCCGGACCCTGCAGAATTGGATGTCTGCACGGACACCTCTGATAAAAAAACACTCGAATTAATGGAGAGTTTTGGTTGCTTTCGCCCAAACGGACATATATTAATTGGGTTATATGACTAGACATCTGAGCATGACCTCTTCGAAATCCATCGGAATTGACGTGAGATCAATCTGATGATACAGCTTCGAATAGGCAAGGCTTCAATCAAATCCTCATTCTTCTACGGACATAAGGCACAGCTCGCATACCTGGAGGATATAAACCACTTGCAGGTATTCGACCGATAACGCTCACTGTGCATTCCTCGGAGTTGCCACCGATCGTGTCTACAACAACGCCTGCTGTCGACTGTGCTATACTTATCTGCCGAATGGCATCAACAGAATGTACTATGTTGAGCGTGAAATTGTTGACGATTTCGGGTCGCCAAGCCCAACTTTAGTTGCCGACGGATTCGATGCGGCCAATCGGGGACTTGGTTGGTGTATAAACCGGTCCAATGTAGCCTGAGGGATCGATGACAGGCTGAACCCGGAACGAGTAGCCTACTGATTTGGTAATGATAAATGACGTCATAAAGGCAAAGACGAAATTCAGTTCGGTACAACACAACCAGCTGGCCCCAAATTTTACATCTCAAGGAAATAATAACTGGGCTCGAAAGGAGTTTATTAACTTATAAGAGGATTGTGATTGTTTCAGTAGCAGTATACGACTACTTGAACCGTTGTAAACGGGGATAAGGCAAGAATCTCATGCTACCCGGCATTGAATCTTAAGTGCCACAACAAGCAGGAATAAACCGACTTTCAAAAGAAGCTTCATAACTTTATTCCGGAAAAACGAAATTACATGTTTCGTTTTCGTAATTAATTAAAGAAGAAAAGAGTCTAAGAACGGTTCGACGCCGATTGTGGACAGGAATGAAGCAATTTCTCAAGAAGGATCGGGGAGATCAGCTCATTATACGTCGGACGAAAGCTATAAGATTCAAAGAAAAAATAACTCAACAATCAAGAGGCGAAACAAACATAAAACTCGATGGACTTATTGCAGGGGTTATCAAAAAACCAAAAAGTGCCACGGTAAAGCTTTGAGTACTTATTTACCACCTAGTTCTAGCTTAAATTATACAACCTGACACTGGTAATTTCCGCGAACTATGAAGGCGAAGAAGACCATTAGAGGAAACCCTTTTGACAGGAGCAGGAGTAATGGCTAGTCAAATGTGACATATCTTTTCCGTTTCAGAGGACATTATAGAACTTAATCGTATCTTCATCTTTGGCAGTCAATATGGAGACATTGAGGCAATATAAAAGGAAGGAGTCAAACCCTCAAAGACAGAGACGAGACATTTTCACTCGGTTTTAAAAAGGCTAAAGGTTGAGGGAAAACCCACAGTTAAGTAACCACCAAGAAGGCTGCATCTGCGTGTTGCTCTACCTTCGAATTACCGAGCGCATTTACAAACAACGAATATTGGAAGAGTCTTTGACGGACTTGTCATAAAACACATAGTTAGTCGGGTTCAATGAATAAACGGTCGTAGACTACTCAATAGTAATAACCGTAGGAGTGACCGAACATGGATGTTGAAGTTTGGTTACCGATGGAAAGGTTATAATCTATGAAAAAATATAAGAAAAGGCACATTTTCGAAGGCGCCCGAAGACGCTTCATTGTTATCCAGATAAATCGTCGAAACATAAACTGGCCGAATGGACGAAGATGTACACCCTTAAATTAAGAAACTCAAGGAATCCGTATTTCGTCAAGCTCCCCCGCGTAACCACCGTCCAGCAGGCCATAGTTTTATCATGTTTCGGGACGATCGGAGAGTTATGCTCTTTAAGCTTCGTTTTGATACATCAACGAAAATAGGTCAGGCAACTCGGACATCGTGTTTTAACAACTCCGAAAATTTGCCGCACGCAAATGCTCTGCTGACAGTTTATAATCATCCCTGTCTAAATTTTACGGAAGCTACTAAAGGAGGGATTGGTAAGCGATTCAAAGGACAAGGGTAATCTAATGATGTCTCACATCATTTCCAACATTATTTTAACAAAAAACGTCCGCTACTATCAAACCGGGGAACATTGAACATTCGGAACTAAGGAAATTCGACCATGTGAGGCAAAACATTTTTAGTTTAAACCAACATAAGTGGGACTGGGGAAAGCAATAAATTATAGAAGTTAAGTAAAATGTAAAGGTCACCAGTGAAAGTCTATTGCTTTGACGGATCAACCTGCGAAAGATTGTATGATTTACGCTTCAAATGACCGATCTTGCCATTGATACTTTGCTATTTTACCTGAAGTGCTTCCTATTGTTAAATACGTAGATGCCTTTCTACCTGTAAGTAGACGGCATGACTTATAATTCAACTGAAGTCTAAGCAACTGGAAATATAGAGCTTTTTGAAAACATCGGTGTTTAACCAGGTGCCTTGCTTGGTAAAGGAACTTGAACGAGAGAGCGATGATACTAAGCCGCATCCATAGATAAGATATCTTTCCTAAACGAAACAATTTGACAGCAACCAATGATACGTCTCTCTTTTCACGGGTGAAATATTCCTAACATTTTGTAATCTGCCTACTTATTAAGGAAGCTCGCTAATTCTGCAAAACAAGCATCCAAAATAGTCCGTCCTGGGGGGGGGGGCCAGACTAAACAAATTAAAAGTCAAACATTTAAAGTATTAAGCAATCGAACAGTATCTTTTAGGGCGGGAATGCTGACGAAAACGCCATAATTTAACGAATTTTGTGTACATACCTTCGTATGGAACTTGTCCCTGGCTATCTTCAATGCCTGAAAGAAGTACGTCAACTTCTTCGTTTCGCAGTCTTTCGCCTAGTTGAGTTAAAAGATGTCGGAGCTCCGCGGAACTGATAAAACCATTTGCTTCTTTGTCGAAAACCCTGAAACCTTCAATAAATTCTTCCGCATTGTTAGGCTTCTTCTCCTTAAGCAGTCCTTGGTAGATCGGAAGAAATGTCTCAAAAGTGATCCTCTGGTCTGCAACGGAAGACCATTTGAGATTTAAAATTAAAGCAACAAGAATAATGTAGTCTCTGATATTCCTCAAGAAGTACTTGCAGCATAAAAAATATGGATCAACCA